GTCCAGACAGTGAACCAAATATGTTAACGGTAAACTCCAGGTCATTATAAGGAGATGGAAATACAACAGGTCCTCGGCACTTTGGATAACTATTGATTTTTTTACTCCATATTCTCTACGTCTCACCCTGACTCACATAATGACTCAAGTGATAGAACGTCAATAAGCTATTTATGGCAAAGCTACCACATTTCAAGCCACTCAACAAGACTATGCCCAGCTCAATTATCCACAATTTTTAGATGTGCAGCAAAGATCTCCAATAATAAATACTGGAAAGGAGGGTAGGTCTGCTGCCTATGTGAGTAAAACACAATACAAGTATTCTTGGAGCAGTCAGAAGTATGGGGCCTTCAACTGTACCCGTCTTTGCTAAAGAGGACCATACCACTACCAAAATTCTTTATGGTTAGACTGAAGTAAAAGACTTCATTTATTATGAAGTACTCCTTCAAGAAGGATGGGTAGAAAAAATACCATATACATGCTAAGGGTATGGAAGAAAGAAATATTTATTATTGGTTGCACTGCCACAGGCAGTTCTCAAGCATGACTTCAAGCACACAGTGTACTTTGTCCTTTGGTGAAAACACTCAGGGATACTTTGCAAAAATCATGTCTCAAAACTGACTGTAAGTAAAGCTAAAAGTACAAAACCACTCTCTTTGGTGGCAAGGGCAGTTCAAGAACTTTTCATTTTCTTCCCCCAACAACTTGCCCTCCATGTACATTTTGCTATGTCCTCACTTCAGCTATTTTTGTAGTCAAGCTATAAAGCAGATTGCGGGCATGCCTGCATTTGAAAAAGGTCTCCAGGACAGATTGTATTGTATTTGCTTCAGTCCACCACACCTGCACTGACACAACAGAAAAGGAGGTGAACTGCATTGCAGAGTTGGAAATGGGCAGAAAAAGAGGTAAAGAAATTCTTCATCAGCAAAGCATCCCTTACACCGATGTACATCTGTCCCTTCAAAATAAGCTAGTTCATTTCATTTGCCAGACAGGAGGGAAAAAAAATTAAAAAAGGAAAAAGACAAACCAAGGACAATGAACTTCGCCTAAGTCAGCTCGTTTCAGCACCAAATATCAGCCCCACTGCAATGGAGACAGCAAGATCACATGGCCAGAGATGGGTGAGAAGCCAGAGGAGATGCAAGACCTCACCAGCTCTTCAGCACGCCGAGTCTCCCTGGCATCGCTTTTTAAAGTCCATACCCAAATGCTGTGGGATAAGGAAAGTTAGGCTACGTCTGAAATACTCCTCAAAGTCAGCGACATCTGAAGGCATTACTAAAGGAATCAACAGCAGATGGATTTATTTCTGCTGAATTAAGCATCAACAGTTCAACAAATCCTCACACTGACTCCACAAGGGATTTCTAGGGCTTTGGTCAGGGTCTGGAAATTCCACTCTATATTGTAATTTCTACCTTGGTTGGTAAAAACATCAGAATTACTAGTTTGTAAACCTCTGGATCTTCCCCAAAATTGTTTTTGAAGCAGCTGACATCCCATCAGCCACTTTCCAGTCCACTTGTACTGAGCGAGCTTCCTCTAACAGCTTACACAGCACATAAGTAGTTCAGCTATCATTAGCTCATCTATCATCTCCGAGTTTCTTTCAGAGCTTTTATGAATACCACCCAGGCTTGAAGAGCTGTTATTGGTAAAAGTGTCCATTTCCCTTAATGTTTTCTACTGAAACCTCAGATCTGAGACCTTGTTTGAGGAGACCTCTGCAAAGAAAACTTTTGGCATGGGAACTTTCAAAAGTTCCTCCACTCTGAAGAGACACGTGAAAAAATTAATGCAGGGTATTTTGCTGCTACGGCCTCATCTCTTCTGCGTGCTGCTCGTACTTCCCCGATCTGCTCCTGGGTCTACAGGCTTTGGTAGATCCTCGTTCCACGGTGAGCAGGTATGAGTGTGCCTACACGCGCACATGTGTGTGTGAGCTTTTATATCTTTTGTTAATTGTTTTTTAAAATCCCTTTTGTCATACTTTATGGTTTGGGTGAAACGGTAGGTTTTTTAACATTTAGCCTAACAAGTGTCACAATCCTCATTCTGCTCACTTAAAAATTATTTCAGATTTTTTTTAAGGATGCCCTCCTTCTTTACCTTACCTTGCTGCCCAAGCTCTGCTGACTTCTTTTAGGGTTTGTTTTGGTTTGGTTTTTCTGAGAAGTACAATACTTTCATTTAAAGAGACGAATGATGTCTTTCTGTAGTTCTTGTCACCTGTAAAGCTTTTACTCATTTAGCTGTTCAGTTTAGCTTCATTTTATCCATCTTATTCATTTGTACGAGGAGTTAATGCCAACTTTTGGGGTGTTAACACTTAAAAATTTCTTGTTTCTGAAACTATAAGCAGCAGCTGGTGTTAAAATTGTTTAAGAATGGGAAACATCACTTCAATCTAACAATTTTATGTCTATTTCTTAAAACTGAATTAGCAGCCTTTACAAAGAAAAAAAATTCTTTCTTTCGAACCGCAATTTCTTTTCCTGTGCATTATTTAAACAATTTAACAGCAGCAAAGGAATTAATTCTGTAGATAATGCTACTGACATTTCAGAAACACTCTTTTTTCTCCAAAAAGAATCTGACAGATCAAATCCAGGCTACATAAAATACAAACCTACCATAGCAGTTTACTAGAACATGGAATTACTCATTCTACCTGACAAATGGTACACATAGATATATCCCACCGTGTTACAGATTTTATAAATTCAGCTTGGATGCATGAAACAAACAGCTAGCCTAAGCAATGAAGCCAAGGGAATAAAAACTGACCAGTTACAGGAAAATAAACGAGGCAACTAATAGAAGGACTTGCAAGGAAGGTGAGAATTACTCCATGTTTTAATATTTAGACCCATTTCAAGGAAATAAACACACAAAGCTTACTTGCTACTTTGTTATCCTCCAGTACACTTCAAAGAATGAACAAACTATAGTGGAAATGACAAATTTGCAGGAGTAATAGCAAACGTGCACAGCAATTGTCACCAAAGAACCTCAAGACATTTTAAAATTTCACAGATTGAAACAGTAAGATGATCAAAAATTAGATGACTACGCCAGGATACGTAAGACACTAGCAGAGCCTAGATACCTAGCTTCTCTTCTGATGTGCAAAATTTATGCCTTAACATGCCTATGCTTCCACAAAAGCACATTTTTGGTAGTCAGCTCTAAAATGTTATGCAGCAATGCTGTCACCACGGAAAGGCAGCAAGTCATGCTGTCCTCCACACGAAGGGACATCCTGTAGGATTTTAAGGTGTTTCCTTGATTTCATTAGCACCATTTGTATGTTGTTCTTCCAACTCAACATGCAGCGACACCACACACCTTAAAACACCACTCCCCAGGCTGATAAGGTTCAAAATTAGTTAACAGCAATTCTCGATTGCTTCACGTAGGCAGTGGTAACTTAAATATTCTAGAGTACATAAAAATTAACAATAAAATTGACTTAATGGCTAAATAAACCAGTTTGATATCCATAATAAGAAATCTCTCAAGCATTGGGCTGATGAGAAAGGCGTCATGTGCTTCTCAAAAGCACAGTGCTAACTACAGTAGTAAGTGAAAGATGCAAACCCCCTGGTAATTATGCAAATAATATTCCCCATTATAAATCTTCAGCTCCTCATTAGGTTGAGGCCACAAAACCCTTATCTCTCCTGCACAATATTAAGAATCCAAGGGTTTAAGGCATAAGACTAAAGCTGTACCTTGCTCATAATTCCTCTCTATTTTCCTTTGTTCCCATATTTTGAAATGACAAAATATTAAACATTTGTTTACCATATTGTAATTATTCTTCAGCAATAATATTACCATAGAGGTGAAAAAGCATTGGGAAACGTCTGCAAAAGACACTAATACTCAGGTGTACTTAGGTGAAATTTGCTTGGTTTTAAATTGTGATTTGGAAAAATAACATGGGCAATAGATTTTTACTTACACAGCATAGATAAAGCTATTGCTTATTGAAGTGATCGGTTTACTATGTTACCAACCAATAAACCTTAGAAAGCTTTGATTTTATTTCACATACAGTGGGCCAAACAGATATTTATATAGTTGCTGACATAAGTGATCCCATTTATTTTCATAGGAATGCTCACATAAGTATTTTAAACTTTTTTTTTGAAAATACCAGCCTGTTTACTATTTATAATCAATTCAAAAAAAAAAAAAAAGAAGGCATAGTCATACCTCAGATAACAATGATTACTGTTACAAAGAAGGGTCAATACAGACTCAATATAGCAAGCAACTGCTATATACAAGAACTTATAAATCTGCCAGACATCTGAAATGGACTGAAATATATAGTGTCAGTTTTCAGAGGAAAACAGCCAGCCATATTTTACAACTTGCCTGTCAGGAAGTTTTTACACGTCAGCTCTAATGAAATATGATTGTTTGATACGGAATTTTTCACTAAGCTGATTCCAAGGTTTGAGACAATCATCAAAAGTTAGACTTTTTGTTGTTGTTTTCTAATACATAAGAAACTTCAAAAATATTACTTTTTTATTCTTATTATTAGACAGATTTCTAGCCCAGAAATATTATGGACTCCCTTTAAATATGGAGTAATTAATTTCTAGAAAAGTTCTCTTGTATTCTGTAACTTCTTAACATAGAATAACCAAATTTAGTAAATAGACCTAGACTATCATATTACTTTTCCACCCTCTGAAAAAAAGACATTTAATATTATCCACACACACAAGGTGACATATTATATTTGCAGCCTTCAGAAAGGTTAGGCTCTTTCCAATCAGCTATTCTTAAGACAGGGATATTTGACAAAAAAAAAAAAAAAAAAAAAATTACACACTATTACCTAGTAATAAAGAAAAAACAAGTAACAAGAAGAGATCTGCTTTCCTCTTCTACCAACAGTTTGAAACAAGTTTGAAGACATGGTTGCTTGAAAAATCAGAGACTTCTATAAAAGTTTCTGAACTTACAAAACGCTGTGCCTTCTGACGCTCCTCTTCTGTCGCAGCTCTCTCTCGAAGAATGGCTCGAGTCAAATGTTCATTTGAAGAAATCCTTTCTCGTTCCAGAAGTTTGCCAAACTCATCACGTACATACATTTGTTCTTGTTTCAATCTACAGAAGGTGGAGGGAAATTTAGATTGAAGGTATATTTTCCAAATGTAGTTTAAAAGGACATAGGCACAGTCGCTTCAAAAGCAATCACTGTAATACATTATTACCAGCTTCTTAAGACACCCAAATACAAATATTTGCTAAAATTTCCAGAAATTTATTTCAGATTGAAGTGTCAAAATCAGAATACACAAAAGCTACAAGACTTAGTATCACTATTCATTAAATCATACAAAACACAAGTAATTCAAGAACTTTATGAAAATATATTTTCAAGTAATCAGAATATGCATGGAGCTCGGCTGGTTGGCTGGTTGGTTTTGTTCTGTTTTTAAGGAACCCTTTTTCCAGGAAAATCCTTCTCCCCACCAGCCAGTGGGCACCCAATTTCCAGCTAAAAGCTCCATTATTTTCTGCAATGGGATAATGCTTTCTTACCTCTGGACACACCATAAACCCAAATACTGCATCTATTTACCAAGCTGCAAAAAGATCGAACAACCATAATAAACCTTTCCCAGTGATTTGAGAGGATGAGATGAAAATAGCTATTGAACTTGTTGCAACAGTTAATAAAGGGAACTCCAGTCCCAGAAAATTCTCAACATTTATGTCACAAACCATAAATATATTTGAAATCTTCACTATAGTAGTTGATATAAGCACACCATATCTAATTTTCATGAAAATACATAGATATAAATTGTTTAGCTAATAAAACTTATCTGTTGCATGTATGTTGTGACACTGAATGCAGAGTCAGCATTAGGGAACTCAGAATAGTAATGGCAGTATCAAACATTGGTTTTCAAATAGATTTTTGAAAGAGTGATGGAGAGGAAGCTTAAGTATTCTCAGTGCATTTATACGTTGTCAAGGGAGCTTCAGAGAACAAATCATAATGAGTACGGTCACTTTGTAAAAGGTAGTAGCATTACAGTACATTAGATTCTTCCCCAGGGAAAATATTTAAGTGAGGTGGGGAGGAAAAAAGACAATTACAAGATCTATTACTTCTGTGCTCAGACACAACCCTCTGAAATGCAGCAACCAACTGGGAATCTTTATAAAAAGTTTATTAAGCAGCATCTTCAATTACTCTAGCAAAAAAGTCAGATTATGCAGACATGGACCAAATTCCATTAAGTGATTTCCCAAGGTCCCCCAAATTATTCCAGCAGCATTGATATAACAAATCCTTCACACAATCAATGGTGCAGTCAAAACACACTGGTTGTCTTTTCGATTGAAGAAATCATGTTTTGTCTAAAAAGAAAAAAAAATGTCAAAATAGAAGTCTCAGCAGCTTTTTCTTGAGACACAGCAGAGAAGGCATTTAGCGTTTCCTGAGACTGAAGTCAGCTCCTTCCTCATCCTTTCTGGATTTTCCTTCCCGCAAGTGGTTTTCCCCTAAAAATATCTCTTCTTTATGCATTCTGTACCTGGCAGAGTAATTAAAGTATATGAAATCAGACAATATCTGAAAAAATCTGCCAGAAGTTTCCACATTACAAACTCTCCAAAATTAAAAAACAAACACTTAAACATTTACATCTAATTCTTGGCAAATTATTCCCACATCTGACATGACCTCAGTTAGTCTTCTCAAGCCTTTTCCTTGCCCCTGGAATTATGAACCTGCGCGAGATCTCCTCTCTACCTCTCTTGCAAGAAGAAGAAAGTCAGTTTTCCTAACACTTAAAAATAATGGGCTCCTAATGTCAAGAGAAACCCTTTGATGGCTTAACCTGACTGCTGTTACATTCAGCTTCCCTGCTAAGTACGCTACAGAGGGGCAGTATGTTCTTTTCTACTTTTGCCAAAAATCCGCGTGTCCTTTGCTGCAAACTTGCTACAAGACGACAACCCAGAATCTCACCTACGTTTGCGAGTCATCTGACTCCTCACCCTACAGCGAGCCATTAAAAAGCTTTTCATCAGAAGCTCTGACATCCCCCAGAATTAGCAGACAATAACACAGCTGTGGTACAGCCACACCAGTGACAGAAAGGATGGCTATATAATGCTGGTTTCCCATAAGCAGAGAACTCAGGGTAAGACTTGCTATTTCACCTTAACCAGCCCATTTAAAATTAGTCCAGGTATCAACCCAGCTATTCCAGTTTTAAGTATCTTGGCCATGAACAGTTGTATCCTACCACAGCAAGAGAAGAAAGGATGGGGATAGACACCCAAAACTGGCACCTATAAAATCCCTACCAAATTTGTATAACCTTACACATGATCCTGTAAGTTACTGGTTTCCAAGTACACCATGTGATGAAAATCCCAGTAAAAGGATTCTGTGCCATCCTTTGTGGGCAATCACATCTCACTGTCATTGCCAAACCAATCCCCCAAGGAACTTCCATCACAACGGAGTAACTGATAGGAGTGCAGGGAAAGTCCCTCACTTCCAACTCCCACCTTTATTAATAATGCATTATATGGTTTTAAGAAATTACTATCCACCCACTTTCTTTTTCCCCACTCCAGGTGCAAAATGATATTACTAAAAAGTTAAGTGATGTGTTCTTTCCCAACATATGAAGACGAAAAATCAGTATTTCATACTAGCTTGCTCATTGATACCAATACCAATAATGATGTGAAATATTTACATCAAAAATGGAAAGATTTTATCTATGTTGTTCATAACAGTTCATCCAAATTCAGTTTTCTTATTTATATATTAGGTCCTTTTTCCTTAAAGTGGGATTCCTCGATGTCTTCAAAAATGCACTTATAATAGTGTCAGCATAAAAATGCAAACAGAAAACTGTAAGTATTTACCAGGTCATCAGGCAGTTAACAATTTTGCAGCTAAGCAGTAAAGCCTTGCATAAATTGATCAACTTCATCCAAAACAACCACCAAAACAAAACCAAAACACCAAACCCCAAAATCACCACCATCACAACCTCCTTGCAAAAAACCTAAAACAAACCCAAAACCAAAAACCCAAACCTTACCGCTGTCCCTGTTCCACCTGCAAGGCTGTGGCAGAAATTCACCTTCTGGAGATTTAGGAACATTCTTGTAATCTCCAAACTCAATTTATACTTGCCCCATTTAAACACATTCACTTTGGGGACAGAGATTATTTAAAGATAGCAGCCTTGTCTGCTGTTCCATCTTGCACTTTTCATACAAACAAAATCCACTCTTTCAGGCTTTTGTAAGAAATGTTGTTTCCCTGATCAACCCATCAGCTCTTCCCTGCAGCTGTTGCAGAACTACAGGCTCCATTTCCAGAGGATTTCACTTTGGTGATTAACTAATACTTCCCAGTTTGTTTAATCCCCAAAATATTTGTTAGTTTGTTAGCAGAAGTACCCCGCGCTTTCATACCACTTATCAGTCAGTAGGAGTCAGTCATTTATTTCCTGTCATATGACACCTTAACCTTTATTTTGCAATAGTATCACTAAATTTTGTACCGCATGCATCTTTCAGAAATAAAAATATTAACATTAGTTCCAAGACTGCCTTCCAAGTCCCATTAATAACCTCCTTCCAGACTAATAATCTCCATTTGTCATTTGTGACAAATCTCCACGTTCTCCAGTTTAACCAGTAATTTTCTAAAGATGCCAAGTGTTTCAGTAGCCATTGACAAGATTAGGCCTACTGTGTTTCTGGTTTAAAGTAGCTATGTTTTTATTGGGGGGAAATAAAATTGTTTATTCTCTGCTGCTACTTCCCTTTAGTAAACATGTATTTTGTCTCTTATTTTTCATTCCCTTCTATGTCAGTAACAGATCTTCTCTTCAAGATTTGTTACACCTTTGCCACTAATTTTACTTCAACAGTTCCAGAGCTGTCTGATTTGCCTCCTACTCCCCCAAAAACATCCTTCCTTGGTAAGTGGGGAAAAAAAAAAAAAAAGAAAAAAACACACACACAAAAAAATCTATTTCATCTTAAACATACCAGTGTAAAGCAAATGAAAATTTCCACTTGACTTTTAAATTCTCATTTTGACTTCTTGGCTTCCTTTTGCTCCATGACTTTTGGCACAAAGCTTTCTTTGCTGGTCCATATATCTGCATATCCATCTTGTGGACCTTTTGATCAACTGCAATCCTTTTTGAAGGCAGCTATTCAGACAGCAACATTTGGAGCTCCTTCCTACACTATTTTTCTTCTTGTTTGGCTCTAAAATACTAGAGAGTTTTCACAGCTTTGCCTTTTCAATTCTTTGAATTGGTCTTTGTCTTTGAATTTCCAGCCTTCCTCTACATTCTTCTTCCTCTCCTCTGCATGAAGTGTTTATCAGCTCCTCATTTCAATTGGCTTAACTAGATGCCTCCTTTCATCAAGACGTACTTGCTGATGTCACAAAGCAATTCTGCAATGTATGTGCTCATCTCCAGAAGCAAAAGCTTGCTCCTTCACTGGAGGCTAGCCGCAAGCCAGAGTAGTTGCCTGCATTAATGTGTCTATAAGCTCAAAGGCTTGGCGATGTCTGTGTATCCAGTTTTGCCAATGTGTTTAGGAGTACTTATTAAACTTCTAGATCAAGACACTCAGGTCACCTCAGTCAAAGAAAGCTGTACAGCAAACATTTTACTGATTTTTTTTCTTTTTTCTTCCTTGCATGGCGTTCTACCATAAAAGAAATTTATACTATTTCATGATAAAATTTTATACAATTTAGGCCAAAAAGGTATTTGGTTTATGTTCTTCAAAAACATCCAAGACTGCCTTGCTCATAGCAGCACCTTAAAGCAAAAATTTAAAGTCTTTCCTATCTACTCTAATCCTCATTCATGTGATCAGGAATGTATTTCATCATACCTACAGAACAAAATACAACTAGTTAACTTCCTGAAGTACCCACCAAACTTTTCCATTTAGGGCAACTTTTGTTCACAAAAAAAGTCCTAAATACCCATCTCAACTGATTTAAATTCAACAGAGTTTTAACAAAATAAGTAGGATTTTGAAGTAATTTTCATTTATTTGAGTTACATAATTGGGTGGCTTGTAGGAGCTTA